ACAGTGCAATATTTTATGCCAGTTTTTAAATTATGAGAAGGTTTCAATTTTTATCTTTATTTTTAAATAGATTCCTCTATTTAAAAATGTAAAGTATTTTTTGGAGAGTTTTTATGTTAAAAAAATATGAGGCTTTTTAGTCTTTTAACATATAATCATTACCTTTTTTTAAAAGTGCCTTTATTGATAATGAATTTATATTTATTATAAATATTTAATAGGGATAAAATATAAAAAAATAAGGTAGTTTAAACTAGATAATTATTTTATTGAGGATAAAATTTGATTAAAAATATTTTATATTTTTTATATGGAGGGAGTACGTGTTTACATTTACATTCATAAAAATTTATCAATATTTATTATTCTTTTTCAATCAAATTTTTTTAAAATTCTTTCAAGTTTTTTTAATAATTTGTGCGCTTAATATAAGTTTTTATGGCAATTTATTTTGATTAGTTTATCAATATTTTGATTCAAAAACTTTTTATCATTTAAATAACTTATACATGAAGATGAATTATTAAGTGACAACTTGGCACAAACCATCCAATATTTTTGTTTCAATCATAACTTTAAAAAAATTTACATACAGGCTCACATATAAAAAACAATGAATTATTACAAATCTAATTAACAATGAATTAAAGTCAAAATTACAATGGATCTTATAATAATTAATTATTTTGTGTTGAACTTTCAACATAATTCTTCTTACTTTTAACAATCAAATAATAATAATATATAATAATAAATCATATTAAAAAAATGCCAATCTTGGCACCTAACCTATCCTTAGCACCAACTTTATCATCGGCAAATTTTCTGCATTTATTGGTGTACTTCGAAAGCAGCAATTAATATTCTTTTTCGTTATATTTATTTATCAACCTGTGACCATCGTACACGCTTGCTTTCTATATTATTTAGTTCACGAGATATGTTTTATTCAATTTTAATTAATCAACCAAGTTTAAAGCCTAATCTGTGTAATAGTGGATAACAATTAAAAGAAACACATTCGGGTAAAAATATTACTGCTCCCTCATTTTCGAAGAAATACAATTGATGTCTTAAAAAAACCATTTTTCTCTTTCTAATTGTACCTTTAAAAAAAATATAGTCAATTTCATAATTCACCAAAATGAATATATCATTATCAGTGGTATTTTTAGAATAAATCATCAATTACTTCGAAAATTCTACAATATGACTTTTATTCATAAACAAAGAATCTTCAAAAATATTACACACACACACATTGCAATGAATGAGCGTGTACAGATCCTTGTTCATGATTTCTTTCTAAGAAAATATTTTACAATTTATATTGAAATTTGTTAATGACTAATTAGATATCAAGCTAAACTTAATCGGATTAATTATGAAAATTAAACTTAAAAAACATGAAAAAAATTAAATGAAAGATTAAACAAAAACTAGTGTTTGATTTGATGAATAAAAGTTTAATTTAAGTATTATATTAAATATTTTAGAATTGCATTGGCTTCATAAAAAATGTAACATAAAGCGAACTATGAGTAAACAATATAAATAAACTAAAACTTAAAATCACATATGGCTTTTATGTAAACGAAAGATAGAATTCAACAGCTTCGTCAAAGTAATTAAAATCGAATAATGTATTGTAAAACAGAAGAAGAATGATTGAAATTTGAACTTAGTCGTTTTGTCAATTTATTATCCCAAAAGAAAAAGAAGGTTGAACTCAAAATTGGGCTATTGACCTGAAGAAGAGAAGCGTGGGCTTATTCCTTTTGTACTCCACCGTCTAGTAATCTGGAACTGGTACAAAAAAAAAAAAAGAATCGGAAAAATTCTGAACAAAAAAAAAAATAAACGATAAAATTACAAGAAGCCGTAAATTAAAAAAAATTATTTTTAAGTCCTCTAAATTTTTCTTATTAATAATAACTCCCCTAAGAAACCTGTGCAAAAACGTAAATGAGTTGCAAAGTTTCAAATTTGACTCGTAAAGATCCAGCAAAGACTAGTTTAAAAAAAAAAATTCCCAAATAATAGTTTAGGATTTATCTGAGAATTTTTCTACTAATTTTCTTTTCATTAACCTGCTGGCATAAGTCAAGCCTTGTTAGAATCCATGATTTAACAAACCATGGATAATAAATATTATTCTAGACAACATATAAAACCCACATGATCCAGTTGACTCTCAAAAAGATATGAATAGATGAAGTTTTTACACTATAATTAACTGACTAGCATTGTTTTAAGAACTAAACCGATCGGACCAAACAGTTGAATAAATTAAATCATAATCAGACTTGCTAACGACTTAATTTAACCAAAAAAAAAGATCATTGAAATTAAGTCAAAAACCCAAAGTTGAGCCAAAAACCAAAGATTTTTATAAAATAAGACAAGTCTGAACCTAAAAAGCTAAAAATACTTTTAGAAAATAAAAAAAATTTAAAATATTATACCCTTTTAAAACTTAACTTCATTTTTGGACCCATTATAAATATATATATATTTTGAGATCATTTTCTCATGATGATATTGACATCTATGGATAAGTGTAAATGCTTTTAAGATTAATCAAGACTGATTCACCAAAATCCCCACCTTTATGATATTGAAAACTTTACCATCAAGGGAATTTGATCGAAACCAGAAGATGTAGGTAGGTGAATCAAAATGATTTTATATTGGAACATTTTAATAGATGCACCACCAAAAAAAAAAAAAAAGTGGTATTAGAAACTTACAACCAATCTCTGCTTCTCATTACACCAAAAAACAAACGTGTCATACATTATTTCCCTTTTGTTTTCATGATCTTTCATCTCTTCTACCACTAACCAGGAAAGCAAGTTAGGGTATGTTGTGGCAAAGCATGCAATAAAATCTACCACCTGCAACTCTCTCTCTCTCAAAATCTTCCCTTGAGCAATGATGTGTGTGTGTGTGTGTGTGTTCAGCTTCAACAAGGAATTGAAGAGTTAGGGACCACGAGATGGAGCGAAACAGAAGCAAGTTGGTTTGGCATCTTCTGGTATCATTCCTCCTCCTTTGCTTGTATCTATGGCTTCCAACAAACTCACCACCTCACCCATTTCTGGACGCTTGTCTGGATTCCCATCCCAGCACTTCCTCATGATGTTAGCCAATGATGTTGGACAACATCGCGGGATTTCGGGTCGCAAATTCTGCACAGAAACGCCGAGCCACATAAACTTTTAGCACGAGCTTTTGCTATCAAGTTCTGATATGTGATGCTGAGTCGAAACAAACGTCATATAGGTTATAGTTTTTATCAGAGAAACTGATAACAGACACTTACAAAACCTTTGTTCTTAAAAAATATTTTTTCTATCATGTAATTAGATGCTAAATCTGTTATTAGGATAGCTTATCTTAATTCAACCTAGACATTACAACTTAAAAGGATACCAAAGTCTTAAATAACGTACTATGTCCATACCACAATATAAGACATCTTCTAAAAACCTTATTTGATCTAAAATATAAGGCATTAAGTAGTTTTTATAATTTTATTTCCAACCATACCCATACTTCATTTATTAATTTTTTTTAAAAAAAGATGCATTGAAATATCAATTATCATTATTAAGCATTTATGTAAGATATTTAATAAAGGTATAATTGAAAATATGTTGTTAGTTCGAGGAGTTTCTTTTATGCTATAATGGTTCCAAGAGTTCACTACAGCATATGTTATCTTTGGATCATATCAGTGACACTACCAAAATACTAATGCAAGAATGATGATTGCAGAGTCTGCACACAAATAATTCATTGCATGAACTAACCTGACGGACAACAGCCGATGACACATCAGCGAAGCTAAGATCTGGATAAGGAATATCACAGCAATATATTTCCCACAAGCAAATGCCAAAGCTGTACACATCACATCTTCTGTTGTAAGGCTTACCATCCAAAACCTACACAAAGTATAATGGTTCGTATTAAATATAACAGAAGAAATTGGCCAGCTTCCAATATGCTTGCAAACAGTGACAGAAGCAAATTCACAGAAGAATGCAAACATGATTGGAATGGAAGCCATGTAAGTTACCCATGCACTAATATAGAATAGAACATTTCTTTAAATCAAGTCATGGTTATACCAATCTCTTTGTAAGACCAACCCATGAAAAATACTCCCACCATCCTAGTTTATAAGACACACTTTTGGAGAAATTCATTGTCCCAAAATACTCATTCCAATCCAAAATATATGCAATTTAGCATTTATAAAAAAAAATCTATTTGACCCCTTTTATTTAGGAACCTAGTGTCTCTGAATTTATGACCTTCTCACTCATCATAAAAGTAGAATTAAGGATAAAAAAAAGAAAAACAATATATATGTTCATGAGTAAGGATCTTATTGGTATGTAGATGATTGTTAAACGATGCTTATATTTGGATTGGAGAGAGTATAAGACACTATGACTCTGACAAAAATAAGGTCTCATTAATTATACTTGTTTCAATATTACTCTTCCCTCATTATAGTTGTATTTTAAAAAAAAAAATTATAAAGTGTATTTAATGAACTTTATCGATGTGTATATTTTCGCCAAAAAGTGTTTTATAAACAAAGACGGAATGAGTACAAAACAGCTAAACAAGAATTTTTCTTTTTCCTAAACCAAAATCAATACCTCTGGTGCCATATATCCAAGAGTTCCAGTTTCACCAGTCATGTCACTAGGATTCTGTGCTTCAACTCGTGCGACTCCAAAATCAGCTATTTTCAAGTTTCCATGGCCATCTAGCAACATATTCTCCGCTTTGACATCACGGTGTACAATCTTCTTTGAATGTAGATAGCTAAGACTGTAAAATGAGGGAAAGCAAATATTTCAGTTCAGTAGAAATTCATTTTTTTTTTTTGGGTAATGATAAAAGAAATGGTATCTACCCCTTAGCAAGATCTAAAGCCAGCTTGATCACAACCTTGAAAGCAAGTTTCTTATGCCTATTTTTGAACAATAGTTGTTTTAGCGTCCCAGAGGGGATATACTCCACAACAACACAACATGCCCTAGAAGGAAGGGAATCTTGACCATCATTTGATGAGTTCTTTGTGGGAATCTTAAGATTTGAGGTTCCCATTGAAGCTCCAATAAACTGCAGCAAGAATGAATAAGAAACAATTAAAAAAAAAAAAACTGAAGGCATGCACTAAAGAATACTCCTCTGGTGTTATTAAATCTTAAACCTCATTAACTTCGTCCAAAAATTCAGTAAATTTTCAACTTTATCCCTATTAAATATACATACTTTAAAAATCAAATTCTCTAGTATTTAACAACCTTCCCAACATTTAAAAAGAGCAAAATGGTAAAGATAAATACAGTGACTATTGAGATGCCTTATAAATAGAACATTGAGTATATCCTGCTTAAAACTTGGCATTTAATTCTTAGCCATGAAAATGTGAGTATCCGAAGTTTCATTACTTCTACAGCATAAATAATTATGCATCACTGCTCAAAGCTGCCACTTCAAGCATCAACTGTGTTCAGTAACAAGATCTAGTTCATAATTTTAAATACATTAGGATGAAGACTCTAAGAGTCTAAGTCCTTACTTTTGTAACATTTGGATGGTCGAGTTTGTGCCAAACAGCAACCTCCTGCTGAAATGATGCACGTAAAGCAGCAGCTTCAGCAGCTGTGGCGACACCATCCTCACCCCAGTCCAAAACTTTCACTATGAAATTCAACATAAGAAAAGTGAGAATTTTCTGAAAACAAGAATATTCAGCGTTGAAACTAAGTTTGGTTTCTTTGATGAGGAATAGCAAACAGTTAACTTAAGAAACCGTAGACTTAACCTCAAATTCCAACAACCGCATTTGTCAAATAAAGAATAGCAAGCACCAGCAAATTGCAGAAAACAAAAGGCGTCAAACCTCCCCAGTTCATTCCAATCATAAAGGACTCAATAAAACCATTCCAAAACATAAGTTGTAATTATAACTTTTACTCATAACATAATGGCAAAGTAACTATCCTCAAACAAGTAATTATCCAACACTTTTTCCGAACCTAAATATTATTGGCCAAACATTAAATAAATTGAGAAGTCAGGTTTACTTATGAGCCTTACATTAAAAAAATCAAGGCATGCAATATAATGGTGTAAATGCACAATTATGGCACGCATATCTAAACAATCACAGGTTGCCCGATGGCAATTTAGGCAACTAAGGAAATGAAAATGCACACAATTATGCTAGCAGCTATACCCTCTTCCCCTTATCACAGGCTAAAAGAAAAAGGTTTGTTCTGAAATTTGAATTAATGACGACTCTCACAGCTGCCTAACTTCCTTGTTTTATGAGGAGATATTAGATATGTCTTAGAGTCAACGGCAACATTATGAATGACCTTGATTAGGCCCAATTTTTTCAAAGTAGGGTAACATAAAGCAATCCTGCCTAGGGTTGCCGTGTGTGATGCGCCTCAGCCCTGAAATAATTAGATATTTTAGCACCTCAAACATACTGTACTGCCTGTAATTTTGAATGAACATTACACAAAAGTCAAAAAAGTAAAGATGACATGAAAACACAGGGTACAATTATAAGCTCCAGATCGATCATGGACCTTCCAATTTCAGGCCACAAATGACAAAGAAAGAGGAGAGAATATGGAACCTGATAGTATCCAAACACATTGAGTAACTCATTTTAATTTCTCTCCAATCATTCATTCAGCGAACAATATAACGAACCAGGAAAAAGAAAAAGAATGAACACTTTATAGCACATAAAAGAGTACATAGCCGAATTACCTGCAACATCTTGGTTATCATAGGTGCCTCTGTAAACAGTACCGTAGGTCCCATGAGCTACAACATATCGCAGATTCAATTTGGCCAAATCAATCTCCCACTCTTCTTTAGGCCTTTTGGACTCAATGTTCTTGGACCAAACCCTGCTTAAGTGTTTGTCAAGCTGCGCATCCAAACTTTTGAGATCAATTTTATCAGCTCTGAAAATTTTATCATTACTGATACCATTTGCAGCACCCTTCATGGAATCTTCCAAATCCATCTTCGGTGTTCTAACACCTTCTCCACCTACCGAGTCCTTCAGGAATACCCAATATTTACAAACTCAATTTCCAAATTGCAAAAGAAATGGAAAGCAACGGATGATGCAATAAGGAAAAGAATAATCCAACTTTCCAGCAGCTGAAAAACAAGTTTGATGTATATATATAATCCAGAAACGGACGAAAGCTCCCTAACTTAAACCTTCATGTATTTATTCTGTGAAGAAAAATCAACTGCGTCTGCTTCAAAACTAGGATTTTTTCTTCGCCAACCACCTTTATTGACTAAACGGAAATTATGATAAAACAAAAGGTTGAACATAGAAGACTATAGAAAAGTAAAACAATTAGAAACCGACCCAGTTCCCACTGTTGGATGACCAAGACCACTGAACCGAAAAATCAAAATTCAAACTCTTTCGAAGAAAAGCATACTAATTAACAAAGCACAAACCTTGAGAGCACGATCAGAACCAAGAAAGAGAACGGCCCAACCAGAAGCAGAACGAGGGAAAACCCACAAGCACAGAAAACCGGAAAGAGATGAATCATCAATAAATAGGGGAAGAGCGATCACGATAGACGGAAATTTTGACTTTGAACGCGAAATAAATAACGGCAGAGAGCGGTCGTGAATAGGAGGTGCCTTTGAACTCTATAAGCACCAGAGACGACGTAAGAACTGCGGAGGGAGGCTAACACCTTGCAAATCCCCCTCTTTAAGATACAGGAAGGAACCGAATCCGAAGAAGGCATTGTTCAAAGAAGAGTGAGGATTTTCCGTTTAGCAAGGTAGAAATTCAGTTAGAGCTCTTCTTGTTAAAAGAAAGCAAGGAAAACGCAAAACGAATCTGGCAATCATCCACCAAACCCACCGAGAAAATCCCCAAGAACGATATTCATATTGAAGGAAGAAAGGAATAAGAAAAAGCGCGGGTAGTTCCTATAATTAAGGTGGAGGGGAGAAAATCTTTCAAAAGACGATCTGAAATCAAAAAGGGATGAGAGGGAATCTTTTAAAAATCAAAATACCAAAGAAGAAAAGAAATTTAAAGAAGCCTTAGGACGTTGGGTTATCATTAAGCAAAAATTACCTTGCTTTATTTTTCAACCCCCCTGTATTTGTCCGGATGATAATAAATGTCTCTTCTTCTTCGTCTTGCTTTTGTTCCCTGCCCCACCTATGTGAATATGTGATGGAGCTTTTTATAATTTGTGTGACAAAGTGGTCTCAAAATAGTGACAAACACGCATTGCATTGTTGTGTTTACAATGACTAAATGTTGGTGACATTGTTGTCCTTTGTTAAATTTGGCGTAATAATGTTGAAGACGGCCCAAGGAAAAGGAATATGCATGCTCATAAATAGAAAAGAAACGAACAAAACAAGGGACATTAAAAGGAATAATCTATGAAGCAATTCACTAAGTCCTTAGAGCTTTCCATAATTTCATTTCATGCATGTTTGATTAAAAAAAAATCATTTCTTGCATGTTTGGAGTTGAATTTTGGCAGCATTTCACATAATGTTCAAAAATTTTAATTCATAATTTTCAAATTATAAATTTATTAAGATAAGTAATTGTTAAAATTTTAAACATTGGTTTTAATTATTAATAATGTGATTTATTATAAATTTCATAGTATTGATGTTGAAATTGATTATTAACTTTAACTCATTCTTCTATGTTTAAAATGACACTTGTCTAAAAATATTCATAGGAATGATGGCTTGTATGTTACATATAGGGGCGGAACCAGAACCCTAAAGGTGCAAAATAATTTAATAAAAATTAATTTTTTAAAAAATAATAATTATGCTAAGACTAAAAGGGTAATAATATAAATAGTTTTATCATATTTTTCATTTTAAAAAATCATATTGAACAGATTAATATAATCTTATATTATAAATATACTCTTCATATTTTATCTAAATCATTAAAAAAATATATATTTAATAAATTTTTGAGCATAAATATTTTTCATTTAATTGAAAAGGTGCAAAATATTAAGAGTATGTGGTGCAAAGTTATAAATTTTATATATCTTACATGTAATTTTTTTCAAAGTAAAAAGGTGCATTTGCAATTTCGCACACCCTTAACCCAATATGGCTTTACCATTGGTTATATAAATATATATATATATATTTTATATATATATATATATATATATCAATGGGAATTTTAAAGATTAAGGAAAATTTATTGTTTTTTTTATTTGATTATATCGAAAGAATTTGAACTCTTATCACCATCCACTTGTCGTTTTATTCTTATTGTTATATTCTCTCTCAAAATTAATTTATTTTATTCATTCGAGTGCATTTTTGTATATATCATTTTTTATATAAAAAATGATAATAATTTTTTAAATATATAAATAATAATTTAATCTCTTAAAATGTCATAATTTTTTTTAAAATATTTAAGAACTTTTTCATCATTAATAAATTTATATAAATTATTAAATTATCTTTGTTAAAAATAAATAATTCACAAATTTTGTTTAAATATTCGCAACAATGCAACAGTAAATAAGAAACTTAACATATAAAGTTGTGATTTACTGTTGTATTATTGTGAATATAAAAAAAATTTATAAATATTTAAACAAAACTTGTGAATTATTTATTTTTAATGAAAGTAATTTGATAATTTATATAAATTTATTAATGATAAAAAAATTTTAGGGATTTCAGGAGAATTATAAAATTTTTGAGGAACTAAATTATCATTTATGTATTTTAGAGTAATTTTATTATCATTTTTCCATTTAAATATATGAGTTCCTTTTAAAATAAAGTTGAAAATGAATTTTATTTTGAGCTGTAATGACCATACTGAATAATATTTTAATTACTTTCTTTCTTAACAAGCATTAAGCAGCCATTTCATTAAATTATCCCCCATTTGTATTGTGTGCCCTAAAACTTATTATGTTTAACCCACCCAAGCCAGCTCTTGATTATAAATAATAAAGGAAAAAATTTAGGTGATTAAACTTATATATTTAATATATCTTTTTTTATTGTTCATATGTATCTTTTTATTAAAGACAATTCTATCTAAAACACAGCTAAACATTAAATATGAATACCTCTCTCAATTGAAATTCAAATTTTAGTTTGTTATATTGCAATTGATCAAATTAATACATGCCGATTTTAATGTATTAAAAATAATAATACAAGAGTTTGTTATATGATAAATAATATGTAAAAAATTTACATATCTTAATTTAATTAAAAATAAAAAATTTAAATATATAAGATTAAATATATATAAATTTTGTTCACAAATAAATAACACACCATCCTTTAGGCCTTCACCATAATATGCACTCTCCAAATACACACCCCAATTTTTGCACATATTTTATTTTTCTATTATTTTCAAAAGAATACAGAAAAATAAAAGTGGGAAAAAAAATCATGTTGGAGGAATGTTTCCCTACTTGAAGCCTTCGGCTTAAATCTGAATTAGTCACTAATACAAGTTATTAAATGGTTTGTTAAAAAATAAAAGAGAGGCTGAGGAATTTCTTGTTCCTATTTTATTGATTTTTTTTTTGGCAAAAAATAAAGGGCTAGCAAACATTACAGATTTTCGATTTATAAAAGGATTGGCTGTCAAAAGGAAGTTATTAATGATTATATACCAAAAAATCAACATAACAGATCTAAAATTTACCGTGCATATCATGTGCTGTCTTTGTCCTGCTTATATGTAATTCTATATTCTATCGATTTAAAAGTATTTGACATTTTTTAAGAAATTAAATATTTAAAAATATAAGATATTTTTAACATTTTAAGACATAACCATTTTGTTTTTTCCAAATGTATTCCCAAAAATAATTATTTTTGAGTAAAATACTCTATTAAATAGGAATAAATATGAAAAAATGATGTTAGTTTAAAGACAAGTAACTATTTTATTAGAAGATAAGATTCAATTAAAAATATCTTATATTTTTTTATGGAAGAGAAATATTAAATTAAATGGCAATATAAAGTACATGAGGGTATGATCTAACGACTTAGTTAATTTCAAATTTTGAATCGTATTTTTAATTCAAAAAGAATCTATGCTACTGTATCAATACTTTTTTTTTCTTTTCTTTTTTTTTAAAAGAACTTGGAAGTATGGTAGACAAGAAACAACAAATTTTCATGTATTTGTTACTGAGGTACTATAGAACTTAAAAAAGAAACATGTCACATACTGTGTGAAGTCGGAAAATAAATTGTACAGTTTATAATTTATAAAGGAAAAATTAGTCTTTTAGTCCTCCAACTTTTAATTCACTTGTAACTTAGTCCCTCAACTATGACTCGCTGTGACTCAGTCTCTCAATTATGACTCGCCTATAACTCAGTCCCTTAACTTTTGAATCACTTACAATTTAGTCCCTCAACTTTTGTTAATTTTTTTTTCATGTTAGTTTAGATCTCAAATTAATGAGTAAGAAGAGGATATTTTAGAATAATATATGAACATTTTTTTATCCCTCTTATTTGATAAAAAAATTTAAAAAAATTAAAAAATAAGGACCAAATTATAAGTAAATCAAAAATTGAGGGACTGAGTCGCAACGAGTTATAATTGAGGGATTGAGTTACAAGTGAGTTAAAAGTTGGGGGATTAAAAGATTAATTTTCTCATTTATAAATAATGTAATTTGTTAAGAATTTTATAATTTAGATTAATTTTTCAGGAAAAAAAACCATGAGTGATAAAAAAAAAGCAAACACTTGTAAATTTATTGACAGCACATATTGCAACCTTTTAAATTTGATAATAAAAATTTTCAAATAAAAACATATGCTTTAGATTCCTTGCGTTTCAAATTAAAGAGAGAATATATAAAAATTTATAAAACTATTTAAAAAAAAGGGAGGAAAAAATATAGCAACATGTGATGTAAATGTTGTATATAATATATTTTTTATTGTTTTTTAAAATTTATGAATACATAAATATAAAAAATTAGTTAATATCGACATTAACATTATATGTATGTAGTACCATGCAGTTAAATTTAAAATTCATGTGTTATAAAATATTAAATATTATTTTAATTTTATGTATTATTAAATAATATGACTGGTTTCTTAACTTTAACCTAGGTACAGGATGAGACAAACTCACAAAAGATTTGTAATGATATTTTTGCTCGCACACAAATTGTAAACCACGTTTTAATTGCCTGGAAAAAATAGAGAAAAAGAAAGAAACGGGGAATATTGAATAATAAGAGAAAGTCAACATATGAATGAGAAGATTATTCTTGGCCAACAAAAAAAAGAATAAGAAGATTATTCACCGCGCCACCCCAAGCATATTGATTGGATTTTTCCAAATATTCTTTATATTATTTCATCATCCAAAAATATAAATATTTATTAGTTCCAACTTCTAATTCTGTCCCCAAAAAAAAAGGAGAATAAAGAACCAAAAAGAGTGGATCCCTTGCCTTTAGAGCCTGTAAAATAAAGTTCCATTTTGCTTATTAAAAATGAAAAGAATGGAATGGATTACATAAAAATATATAAAAATAAAATAATCAAGATATGGAGAGGAGAAAATTTAACCATATACATGAGAAAAAAAAAGTAATTTAATTTATAAAGTTGAGAATTATAATTCATGATATTTGTGATAGGGGTGATGATTCCCATGTTTATAATATGTAAGATTAAATTTTATAATGCTTGTTATGGAAGATTGTATAATTTAGCTTATTTTTATTCATATTTTTTTAATTTATTCCATTTCTATCATTTTAAGTAACCAAGCAATTAGTAAATTGTAATATTTATGATTGAGAATGAGGTAGCAAGTTATGGCTTAAACCATCAACATCAGAGATGAATATGGTTAGTTTTTTCTTTTTGAAAAAAACTATTTTTTATTTTTAAAAACAAGAAAAATAAAAAAATTGTTTGAATAAATATTTTGAATTTAAAGTATTTTTATGTTTGTTTTTAAAAATAAAAAAAATGGAAA